CTCCTTCTACATTGGAGAGGTGAATCTCTTCTCTCTCTCTTGCCTCTCTCTCTAATTTACTTTCTAAATTAACTATATTTTCCAATCCAAAAAAACTAAAACATTGCTAGCTAAGAGTGATTTGTACAAGAAAGTCATGGTGAAACCCAGCATGTGAAGTTCTCCCAGGGTTCTGCTGCACAGAGCTTAGCACATTGGAACTCGTTTTTTCTCCTAGATAATGGCTTCACGCAATCAAGAGTTCTGTCTACTGCACTTGTTGTCATATCTTTAGTTAGGTGCCTGCCTCAAAGTGATGAATATTTTTCAAAAAGTGATTCAATACATGTAGGAGCATGGATTTGTGAACATATGACTGCATGCATAATGACTGAGCACATGTGTAAACAAACTCCATCCATCATGAGGCACTGTCTGATACTCACATTTCTACTTTTAAAATCTATGCTTCAGCAGCCTAAGAATTACTTTTTCCTGCTTTGTTTCTGGGACCAGTTCCATGAATCTTGGTGCCCAGGGAGAGCAGTTTGTCCAGGCACACTGTACTCCTTGCTTAGTTCTTATTTTTAGGTTTCTCATTGAACTGTGGGGAGACAGCCTCAAATCCACACATGGCCCTCAGGAGTGGAAAGCACACATACTACAGTAACATGAAGGACACACATAGCTCACGTCATAAGCCATGGAAGCAGCAGCCATGATGGTGTACTCTCACATGACTAAGACAGATGTTTGCTAAACCTGATAGATTATTTTTCACAATCCTGTTTGTCATAATTCTGTAAGCTGATCGAGGTCAGTGGGCATCTTTGTGTTATTTGGGCAAAATCGATACTAGCCCCAGAGGATAATTTCATTTTCATTTGTATCCATTTTGATCATAAGATCTGGGAAAGATTTTGGCAGCTGTATGACAACATTATTGGTGGTAGTCAGAAAGTCCAGGAGCAAGACTGTTCCTGTGGCTAGAAAATTAGAGGGACAAGGAAGTAGGGATGACTGAGACACAGGAAAATGGTGGTGCCTGAGTCAGTCTGAGAGGCGAGCAGAGAAAGAACTGTAGGACTTCTAGTCAACTGAGTATAGAATTCAGGGTGAGAAGATTGAGAGACTCATAGGTAGTTCAATTAAGATGTGGACGGAGCAATCTTATGCTAAGTACATGTCAGAGTAATCAGGAAGCTAATTTGATAGATGCTAGATGTAGAAAGTAGATGTTGTTTTTTTTCCTAAAACGAACATAATTCATTTAAATCGAGAAATTAACAGCTATATTTGATAGTTATGATGAGTCATTTTAACATTCTATTCTTATTTTTAAATAGCATAACTGAATGAAATATCATGCTGTTCTCAGTGATTTCCTGGGCTACTCCTACCAGAAGGAAGGCAATCTGCTCAGATCCCATACTACATTGAAGTCACTACACCTTCTTGGCCATAGCTGGCCCTAATTAAATATCATTAGGGGACCTACTGAGTGTGAACCCCATACACACAGCCTTGCTAAGTGATGTTGGCACCACAGAGGAAATATTTCTCCTTTACTAGAAATCCAAAACAACACGGATAAGTCTTAGGACTAAGATAGGTTTCATGCTTTGTGGAATGCAACAGAAACAATTATGAGAAAGCTTGGTCATGGATTTATGACACAGGCAATAATGGACACCTTGTGCAGGTGTAGTGATGCAGTGACAACTCTAAGCTTAGTAAGAATGGAAACAAAAGACAAATGGAAATTATCTATTACCTTATCTACCTTTGCCTATTGGTATTAACTGTACATATACAGACGATTGGTATGCTTTTAAATATTTTCTCTTTTCTAAGTCTATGCAAGATCTGTATGTATAGTATATATACACATACATACAAATACATTTCTACATGTGTGTGAATGTGTATGTATATTATACATACATGCTTGTGAATGAATAGAGTACTTCTGACATAGCATACAAGCAACAAAGCTTATCAGTGCTAACAGTGTTTATCTTTGGGGAGTGGGACATGACGCCAGCACAGAGGGAGGCCTTGATTTTGGATATGATATTCAAATGTGGTATTAAAATTTTCTATAAAAAGCATGTGTGATTGTTACAACTAAAATAACTAAATATTACTAACTAAATTGACATGTAATAAAATGAAATTGCTGTGCCACATTGTCCAAGACATGAATAATATAAGAATTCTAGCAAATAAATTTCAGAAATTCTTTAGGAAAGGGCCAAATGAAAATGAACTACTGCAAGTATCTCATAGCAGAAACAGATCTGAGCAGCAGCTATTATGAAAGAAAACAGAGCAACAGGGTAAGTGAGGCTTTCTACCAGTCGTTACTAATTTCATTGTGGTGTATGTGCCAGCTGAATTCTGTTTCAAAACTTATGTTGGTTTTTGGTTATCACTTCTATAGAGGAAACATAAACTCTCAAAGCAAAATTCCTAGTCATGGTGTTTATTTCCTTCTTGGCTTATGAATCCTCCTCCCTGTTCTTTATCGAGTCCTTGAAGATGATCAAGCACAGTTTAACTGTGTTTGATTCCATTAAATGTGCAATATTGTAATATCAGTTTGCAAGAATGACTGCCTTTAAAGATGTAGGATGTTGTCTTTTAATAGGTCTTCATTTTTCATCCCTCTATTAGCCTAATCTAAAAGTGGAATCCCAGAGGAGACTGTGTCACAACACACAGAGGAGCCAGTCACGCCAGCTGCTCCCTAAAGTGATGTCTCGGCAGGCATTGCAGAAATGATATTTCTACAGGTATATGTCTGCTAAAGTTATGTGGGTTTTCAGATCAGAACCAAACCCCTTGTTTCTGTAGTTCCTGATGGCCTATGAAAGGAAATACACCATGTTTAAGCTGAATCTCACTCAGCTCTTTCTAAAGCCCAGTTTTGAAAAATTGGTCACTGTCACACACTATGACCAATTTATTTATTTTTAAAAATGCTACAGGTGATTTAATGCTGAATTATTAAAATGTACCTGTTCTGCTTACTTTTTTTTTTTAAGGAAAGTCCAAGTCTTAGAGATATATCATATATCACTTATCAGTAACAGAGAACTCTAATGCCCCCCCACCTTTTTTTTATTTTGGTTTGGAACAATTTTAAACTGAAACAGGACCCTGTAGTATCTCATCATTTTTCACACCAGAGATTTATTTGTGTCTTAGGTTGGAACTTACTTGAATTGGCCCATAGACACCTGTACACTCAATTTTCTCTGGGCTATTTGGAAGCATTCACAGATAAATGTGAGATGGTAGTTGATGAAAATAGAGTTCTTTATCCCAGCAGTAGCAGCTGGACAACTGACTGCTTGGCCAAATGTTTAGCTCAATCCAGGGAATGGAAGTTACCATTCAAAGCCAGATTTCAGGCTGTTTCAAAAATTATATTATATTTCTGTCATCACAACATTTTCTTGACAGTCCCACCAATTGAAACACTCCCAGCAGAAGCCCAGTGATTAAATTCTCCTGGACCATATTTGTTTCAGCTTCTGGAAACAATCTACTGCAGTCCCTCCTCTCACTGTAAAGTTTAAAAAAAAAAAAAGTTCCATTTCTGAGACTGATATATGGAAATAGACTACTCACAACCAAGTCATTCTCCCACAGTTGGAAATAATGCCAACAAGTTGATTTTGAAATGACTATGGAGAGACTGCAGTAATAAAATCCCATCCATCGAAAGGCTGTTTCTGCTTAATGTAATATATCATAATCATACTTTGAAAATGATGATAGGTGGTCAAAATGTGACTCATATAAGCAAAGTCACCATTAGACCTTTAAATTAAATGTAGAAAAACAATCATTTGTGGTCACATGCAGAAATGCTAGGGAAGCACTTTGCTATTTCAAAGAACAAAATTGAATTAAGCTCAGGAGACATCAGATTTAGCCAAATGCAAAACCCCTGGATACTTGCTTTTATTTTTGACTTATCCCCAAGTCAAGTAGTTGTTAGAATAGAAAGTTAGACGACTTTTTCTCCTGATATTCTCGTTATCACAGAATCCCTAATATGTACCTATAAGTAAATCTGATCCGTGGCAAGATTAGATATTGCAATTCCACGAACAGACAGACCTTTCTGGCTAGATTGCCACAGAGGTTTGCACTAAGAACTTTCTGACAAGGGAATAAGTACTGAAAAGATTATATTAGACTACCCCATACCCCACATGTGGAAAATAGGGTTAACGGGTAGAACCTTTGGACCTGACAAGCAATAGGCGAAGCATTCATCGGAAAGATCCAGGCATCCCAGAATTCTGGCAGTGGAACCCATACAACGAGGTTTTGCCCTCGAGTCAAGGCTTACTTGAAATAATGAAAACCAAAAACCTAGAAGAAAAACCTAAAACAGACCCCCTCTCACCCCTATATCTGAGAGTCTATGGTTATTCACCGCTGCAACATTCTAGTGACTGTTTTCTTGCTTAAGTGACATATGTTGACATATGTTGCTACTTTTGCTTTTGCTGTTTTTTTTTTCAAGTCAGTTAGACTGCTTTCAATTATCACTCAACAAAGTTTAGAAGTAAACATTGTTCAGAGTGCTCCATTTCCTGCAACCACAGTTCCCACACATGATTTTCTGCTCTGCAATTTAACAGCACTTAAAATTAAGTGGTTCTGCATACTAGCTGTGGGCCTTTGTACTCTTTTGCTCATCTCTATTGCAGCAAAAGGCAAAGATGGCTACACATAGGCAGTATGAGCTGTACAGACAGCCCAAGCTGAACCAGTCCTCATGGCTATTGGCTCCAGTCCAGCAGGCTGGGTCGACCCCTGGGTCACCTCTCTGAGGCACCTCCAAGCACAGACAACTCCCCTGCCACCTCACCATACCTCAGAGATTATAGCACACAAGTTGACATTATCCATGTGGCACCTCCCAGCTCCTCTAGAGTGAAACAGGGGTGGTGGTGGGGTGGGACATGCAAAGAGTCACTAAGTAGTCTTGGACATGGAAGTAGTTTTACAGTTATATTCTGCAGGATGCCCAGAGGGTTTTAGAAGACCTTCAGACAATCTTATGGTCTTCAAGACAGAATGTAAAGAAGAGATCATATCATATTTTTTTAAGTTGATGGGTGGTTACAGTAAAATCGTGTGGCAATGTGGGGAATGAATGCATGGGGGAAGAGGGAGCAGTGCCATTTATATGAACATCCTTTGAATCTGTAAAATAAATTATACAGGTGAACACAGAAGTTCATGCTACTTGCTGGAAGCAATAATGATCAAATTTTGTGGAAGTCATATAGTATTCCACAAATTTCCAGGTATCCTGCCCTCCTTCTCAATGGGCTATCGTGTTCTGTTGTACATCTCGGTAGCCCTTAAAACTGGTGGCATGGTCTCAGACTGATTCTTGCAGGAGAGAAACAGATATATGGATTCCATCAGCTTCTTTCAGGGAGCTGCCAGGCTGCCGGGAGGGCACAGGTGATATGCCTGCTCACATTCTCTTTGCTTGTCTGCCAGGGTCAAACAGCAGTTTCCAGATCCTCATGGCCAATGGTCTTATAGTTCTGACGGCTTTCTAGGTAAGCAGCCAGATCTGGGTCTCCAGCCTGTTGTGCTCTATCTTGAGGTGTCTTGCCCTATAAGGTTAACAGAAGGAAAGAGAAACAAACATTTGCTGTTAGATAGATAGATAGATAGGTAGATAGATAGATAGATAGATAGATAGATAGATAGATAGATAGATAGATGATAGATAGATAGACAGACAGACAGATAGGGAGAAAATTACAGAAATAGAGCTACCCAAAGAATACATGCTAATAAGGATCCTTCCATAACAGGTGTTCTAGAGTTAGAAGACATTTTCAAACCTTTACTCTTACATAAGTATTATGTTGAACTTGTGAGATTGGTAAAATAAATAGAAAGAGTTTATCACTTTTGGCAGGTTGGGTTTACATGTAAGAAAATGGAAATTCACAGAGTCTAACATAGTATACAGGAGTAAACAGTGGGGCACAGTAAATTTTGGAATCCAGATCCTTTCTGGAAGAAGGGGAGACAGAAATCACTGAAAAACCAAATAGAGAGGTAGGTATTTGAATTTCTAACTTAGGACTCTATTATTCCAAACTCTGGGAATCAAAAGGTAGAAACTGTAAGTAAGGGGTGGTCATAAGCAATCTGGAAGGTTTTCTTTGCTGGTTTCAAAACCTTCAATTGAGTTCTTCCCAATTTACTGTGACTTCGTCTCTCTAAAAAATAAGATAATTTCTGAATACAAAAGTGATGGATGTGTTAATTAAGGAAATTTTGGAAACTTCAAAAGCATGAAGAAGAAAAAAAATCACCAATCATTCCACCGAGCTAAGATAACTGCTGTTAACATTCCATTGAATAACTATTATTGTCTTTTTTCTATATTTCTATACATATGAGGGAGGACTCCCCCTAAAAAACATAATTATTTTTTTGAGGGCAGGTCCCTTGTAGCACAGGCTTCCCCCACTAGGTAAGTGTTCTAGGAAACCATCAGCATTCAGTGTACCAGCTAGAGTTATTGTGAGAGGCTGAGTTTGGCTTTAGTGAATTTTTTTGGGAGAGTCTTTAAACGTGTTTGCCCATTTCATGACAGGTGATTTACAAGCACACCTTCCCATGCAGCACTGAGTGTTCAGCAGTTTTTGATAAAAAATGGCATGATTCCCATGCTCCATCCTTCCTATTTACCCTATTTTGCCCCAAGTGACTTTTGTGTTTGTTTGTTTCCCTAGATGAAAAAGTCCTCAGAGGGAAACGTTTCTGCCAATGTAGAAGAGGTGAAACGAAAAACAGCAGAAGCGCTAAAAGGCATCAAAATCGATGAGTTCAGAAACTACTTTGAGCAGTGGGAAAAGCATCCTGGTAAGTGTACTGCATTAAACAGAGAGTACTTTGAAGGTGACCATGTAGGAATAAATACACAATTTTTATAAACAAATACTGGCTTTTGGGGGTCCCTCTTGTAACTACTTTTAAAAAAAATAAAGCCACACGTTGCTACACACTTATATCACCTTTTCTACTTAATATGTTATAATTTTTGTCATTAAGTCTTCACATCAACATTTTAAATGATCATATAATTTATTACAGCCCACTATAACACTTTTTGTACATTTGTATACACCATAAACACACATCCACATTTATATATACATTTGATATTTTTAAATGAGGTCAGCTAATAGAAGCCAGCAGTAAAGGGAGAGAAGGAGGGAGGGAGGGTGTCCATCCTCTTGAATGCTTGTAGGTTTGCTTAACATTCCTTAAAACTTCTAATTTTTACTCCAGGAAACAGTTAAATCTATATTTAAATTTATATTAAGTACCAAGAACAGGGAAGATGCATGAACACTATCCCAAAGAAAGGGATTAATGCACACGACTTTTATAAAAATGATCAGAGCCCTCTCTGCTTCCATCTCAGCTATCCCAACAGATCTTGCTGACCTCAATTCAATCTGCTCTAAGAAGCTACTAAGGTATGTGGGACAGACAGTAAAAGGCAAGTAACAATGGCTCTAGACTCTTTTTGAAATTGTACTTATTTAGTTAGAATTTAGCATTTAACCACTAGTTTGAAGTTCTGATAATAATTTCTATTCAATTTGTTATAGCCTCAGTAGACTATCTTATCTTTACTTCCATAATAATGAGGTTACAATTCCTAGCTTCCAAATATTCAGAGAGGTGGCTGAGGTGAGTCTTTGTGTTGATGCCTTGATGTCTAATAAGATAAATTCTCAGGATACTGCTTCTAACCAAAAAAATTCCAGGAGACGATTCAGTAATAATTACCATATTCAGTTTTAACCTAGAATCAAGTTACAGAATGGTAAAATTAAAGAATTCCTAAAAAGGAATGAAGCATAGCTGTATTACTTCATATGGTAAGTTCTCTAGAACATAATGTTGAGTGAAAACTTAAATTATACAATAGCATAGTAAGAATTCACCTGGTTAAAAAAAAATGAGAGAAAAAAAAGACATGTCTACATATGAAGAGAGATCATTAAAAGCTTAATGATATTTATGGTCTAGATTGTGGGATTTATTGTAATGTTTGCTTTGTTGCTATTAAGTACCTTAATAGTTTCTATATTAATGGTTTTCCTATGTGGGGATGTACTATATTTATAATCATAAAAATACAGGTATTTGCATTTTTATTGCATATACACAATATAGAATAGGAAGAGATCTTTTTTTTTGAGCTGGAGTCTCACTCTATTGCCCAGGCTGGAGTGCAGTGGCAAGCTCATGGCCACCCCAGCATTGATCCACTGAGCTCCAGCAATCCTTCTGCCTCAGCCTTCCAAGTAGCCAGAACTACAGGCACGCCCAGCTAACTTTTGATTTCTATTGTAGAATCGAGGTCTCACCAAGTTGTCTGGGCTGGTCTCGAACCCATGGGCTCAGGCAATCCACTTGCCTCAGCCTCCCAAAATGCTGGGATTACAGGTTGAGCCACTAAGCCCAGTCAGGAAGAAATCTGAAAGAGCACTGAGTCCATTTATCTGATTCAGATACTTCAAAATATAAAAAGAGAGACCTGCTCAAGAGGTCCTGATCTTAGCTTATTTGTCCTTCTATTTCATGTATCTCCTCTCTTTCTTTTTATAATCTGAGTTGAGTGAAGAACCAGCCTTTGTGCAGTAAATAGGCAGTTGCCCTGCTGTGATCCGAGTAGCCCCAGCACAATCAACCCTATCCTACCACCTGGCCTGCATAGACCCTGCCTGCAAGGTGTGTGCTGGTCAGTCAGGTCAAACATCAAAATATCTGAGTGCAAACCTCCTCTGGGAAGAATATCGCATTGAACAAGTATTTGCTGTCTGAAATAGTATACCCAAACAGCTAGCCAGACAGGTAACAGACCAGCTAGAAACCAGGATACAGCTCCAGCATGTCTAATATGCCTAGGGAGGAATTGAGGCAGCCAGGGACCTCAGTCAGAGAGCAAGGATGCTAGTAGGTGCTAGAGAAATGTAGAATTCTGTGCAATGCAACTGGCTTAAGAAGGAGACAGAGGTCTTCTGGGAAGACAACGTGCACTGCAGTTTAAGGAAGCCCTATGGCAAAAATTGCACACAGGCAGATTCCCACCACTTAAATAGATCTAATGGCACCTAAGCCATCAATTTAGGCTTCTGAATCACTTATCTATATGTATCATGGCTACATTCATTGGCCTAAAACCTCAGTTAGTTGGTATCACTTAATGAAGACTTCATCTAGATTTTAAAATTCTTCTCTGCAACCCTCTATAGTTAAGTGGTTGACCCTTTCTTGGAGTCTAACCAGGATGCCTTAAAACTCTCAGAGCTTCTCAGGATCCTCTATGATGCTATCTTCTGTGTAAACTCTTCTTTCTTTCTAAAAGACTGAGTACTAGGTCAACTCTACTAAGCTACAATACCTCCCATACTCCATCTTCAACCCGTTCTCTTGTATGCTTTCCATACATGGAAACAACTTAAGGTACAGCCAGCTCTCAGTTCTCCTAAACAGAGTTTCTCCTGAGGCCTCACCTCCGCCTGTTGGTGCTTTCTGATGAAGGTTGGCATATGTGTTACATGGTCAACTTCTGGGCTTGCTGTCTTATTAAGACAGTTTCATACTTTGAGACCAGATTTATATAAGCTTTGCTGAGGAGAAACCAACCACATTTCAAGCCACAATGCCACAGTTGTCACTGTATCCAACAAAACAGATGACAAACCACCTTGAGACCCAACTTTTTACTTTGTTGTTGCACTTCATCCTGAGGGGGCAGTGAGTGTCTATCAGCAAATGAGAACAACCAACCTGCTGAAATAATACTGGACTGGATATCAAAAGAGCTGAACTGAGATTTAGGCTCAGCTACTGGTCCAAGGGAGTATTTCACCTTCTTTAGGTTTTAATTCCTGCACCTATTAATGATAATAATTCCCATCATATCTAATTTCTGAGGTTAACTTTTAGAAAATAACATAAGAAAACAAATGGAAAGAAACTTTTTAAAAAATAAAGAACTACATACAAGCACCAGATTTAAGAATGTAAGCATCTCAAAGCCAGAGTCCACCATCCTGCAACCAGTAAGTAATGGAATCACTTTGGCATCCATGTATGGGGTCACGTAAATCAGAGATTTTAAATTGCAGTGGATGAAGGAAAATCCCAAAGGGACTTCTCAGGAGTCAAGCCAAAGTCCTTGAACATGGTCCTGATCCCTCCCTTTGGGCTTCAGACCCCACCCCCCTTGACTTGGCTGCTAGTCTTGAGCAGGACAACCCCAAAGTCCCAAGGCCAGCACGTTCAGCGGTGTATAAAGCCCCCTAGGCAAGCACACACCCTCCCTTTGTGCTTATACATTTAAACTGCAGTTTCTCTAAATGAAGCACTCTATTTTTTCCTCCTTTTTCCAAAGCCCCAGGCACTTCCATAAGCACAAAAAGGAGGCCTGTGCTAGCTACGGGTACAGGCAGAGGCAACAGTGCCCGCGATCTTGCCCAGTGGGAGATGTTTGCACTCACTCATGGAGTTACCTTGGAGTCCGTCTTTCTCAGAGATGCTCCCGCATCCACCAGAAGCTGGCACACAGCCCGGTTCCGCTGGCAGGCAGCCTTGTGCAGTGCAGTCTCACCCCTAAATCAAAGATGAAATGGGAAACCACCCATGAAGAGGTTGGAGGCACGGGGAGGGGTGAGAGGATGTGTCCTACCTCCGCTGCTGAGGCTGGGTGCTTCTCCATCTCTTTTCCTATAGGCAGCTGAGACCTGGGCTGCTGGGTGCACTCTGGGGAGGTGGGCAGAGGAGTGTCTACAGATTCCTTGAGTTAGTCCTCCACAGACCATACTATCTGACTCCAGCTTCTTTTCTAAACAGTACTGAGGTTTGATTTAGGTTATACCCAACAGAACTTTTGAACAGACCAATTATGCAGATGTATCTGAACCCTGAAGCAATTCTCTGCATACATTTGGATAGAGTGTGAAGGGTGCTGGGTGAACACCTGGGGAGCAGAATGACAACCTTGGGCCCTCGGGTCACATGACCTGCATTTAGTAGACTACCACTTTGTCTGCAGAGGAACGTATCCTGGGAACCCATGCTCAAAGAAGCAGACCAACACCCACTCTGCTCTACCCACTTTGGATTCTGCATGAGTGGCAGGTGGCAGGAGGGGGCAACCATAGAGGATATCTGAGAGGCACAGTGAGACTCTGGGAGAGTTCGAGAGCCAGCACTCTCCCAGGAGGCAATAGGCCTGAGGCCAGCCACTCAGTGTGGGAAGGGGCAAGGGACAGTGGCCATTTCCTCAACTCTGACAGGCTGTGTGGGGAGGAGGACATTCCTAGCATGAGCTTAGTGCCAAAGTGTTTCAGGAAAAATTGACTGCAGCCCTTAGAGAAGGCAAACTGGGGCAAGTGATGGCACTATTTACAGTCTTGCCGGTAGGAGGCGATAGCATGTGGGCCAACTCTATGAAAAGTGGACAGTTCCTTCCCTATCTACTAGCTCCCTGCTCTCTCCCACCTCACTATTTCTACTTCTCCTCTTCCTGCCTGCTCAGTCATTCACTACCTCACTTCTCTCCTCCCCATATGACATTCTGGGTTAGTTGTGTGGCCTCTCTTTGTTCCTGTTTGGGGAAACAGTAGCAGGTTTGCTGCCACAGAAATAAGGTAAAAAATAAACATGAATAGTTTCGGCACCATCGCAGACCTGTTAACTTGCTCATCCAAGGTGCCTCATCTGAACTACAGAAGACAGAAAATGACTAGAGTTATTACATTCTCAGTTCTTTAGTGGCAGAACATAACTCGTCCTACTCTAGACAGAGAGGGGTTGTGTCATTACATGCAAGGATGCCTTTGGGTAGCAGGGCTTTATTTTCTCACAAACCCCCAGTTGAGAATGAATAAATGTGATGGGTTCATTAAAATGTGAATGTATTTATTCCCTTCTCAGCGCTTTATGATGCACCAGTACAGAAGCCCCTTGCTTGTAGGAAGCTCTACACGCTGAACAGCATTGACCATCATGCAATCCCTATGATATTTGTCATCCATTTGCATTGTGTAATTTTTGCTCTAGAAGATTAGCCCTGCACAGTTATAAATGCAGTGAATGTGGACTTTAAACCGATGAAATTAAAATGACCTATGCTATGCCCTCCAGATTACATTTTTCTCCTGAGTATGTTCTGAGGAAAAAAACCTACACTTTGTAATGAAAGGCAACACTCACGTTTCGCTGTCTGCCATATCCAACAACTCAAAGGGTCCTAAACAAGACAAAAGCAAGATGCCCGTCAAAAGTAAGCTCAAAATTAACCATTAACAGAAAATCCACAGTCATAGAATTAAAAGTACAAATACCTTGGAAGGCTGAATTTTAAAAGTCGTGTGGTGACAGGAAAAATAAGACAAAAGGAAAAATGAAAGGATCCCCAACTTAGGGATCCTTCCTCATCACAAATCTCCCAATCTCCATGAGTCAGTATGAACAGAATGATAGATACAAAACAATAATATGGGCTCTGCTGTCAAGAAGCTTTCAATCAAGTTGAAGAAATAAAAGTAGTTAAAATAGAATAAATGAAAAATCACTAAGAGACAATCTAGGAAGAAAGGGGCCAATCTGATGGACTTTAAAGACCAGTGTCATTTCTCATTCTCCAGCAACAAGTTGTTTGGGCTGGAGTCTTATGCAGTAAGATGTTAAAGCTATAAAACACCATACATCGCACCTAGTTCAATTTCCTTATTTTAGAAACAGGAGGAAATTACACTTTTAAAACTCCCTTCTATGACTAGGAAAAAATGTTATGCATACACACCCAGTGACTATAGACACATCATTAGGAATGAAATCACTCTGCTATTTTGCCCCTTCACAATGTTTTATTTTCCACTAATTAACCCACTCCATCTGCAAATACTGCTGTAACGTTCACCCTTCTATATCCGTACCACTGCTTCCCTCCCTGCCATTCATGGCCCTATCTAACAGGTATCTGCTGAGACTTCTTTTTTCTCCATAAAACCCTCTATGATCCCACTCTAAATACTGCGTTCAACGCCTACCTATACATCTCTTACTTTATGTCCTGGCCCTGTTTCCTATAGTTGGATGGGTAATAGGATTTATCATTCATTTTGAGACCATTCTAGGCAAATGGTATATATGACCACATTGTTGATCATGACACTTGTCAGACTGTTTTGAAATAACATGATGATATGTCTTTTCACAACCAGACTCTAGTAAAACTCTTAAAGTTTTGGTCTATCCTTTGTCCACCATTTTATTATTCCTTGGGGCCTAGCAAAGAGCACAGTGCCAAGAAGATGCTTAAATATTTGGTTGAATGGATGAATGCATATGCTTAGAAGTGCCAAATACAGTTCTGGGCATTGAATATTTTAGTCTTCAGAAAGATGATCCTAGTGATTTGCTGCCTGTATCAATAGACATCATTATTGAAAATGAATTTATTGTGCATTATAAGAAGAAGGGGAGAAAAGTTAGAATGACTTTCCAACCATGAAAGTCATTGGCCAAGGGGAAGATTATAGATGTTACAAAATTTCATAATCCTCTGGGTCAGCCAAGATTGAAATCATTTTGACCTCCTTTCTTTCACATTTACTGTTCTCTGGGACCTGGTGAATCTTCTCTTGCAATATCTCTCCGGTTTGTCTTCCCTATTTGTCCTACTTAACAACAAATAGACTCCTAAAAAGTGTCTGCCTGGAACATAATTAGCATACAGAGACCATCACTAAGAAAGATAAAAAGGTCTTCTATTGACTAGATGTCTAGGTTTCTAATACGAGGGAAGGAACATTCAAGAAACAGAATGTCTTTATTAAAAAATTGTGTATTTATTCTTACACATTTAAACTTCAGTCATCTGTAAAGTACTCTCTGCTTGATACAATACACCTAATGAGATACTTTTCCCACTGTTCAAAACAATTTTTGAACTCGTCAATTATGATGCCTTTAGTGCTTCCACTGTTTTTTGTTTCACCTCTTCCATGCTGGTAAAACGTTTCCCTTTGAGAACTTTTTCATCCAGGGGAACAACAAAACAAAGACAGATCAGATGGGAAGGTGGGGCACAGGGTGCCATTTTCAATCAAAAACTGCCAAACATTCAGTGCAGTATGGGCAGGTGTGCTTGTAAGTCACCCATCATGAAATGGGAAAACATGTTGAAAGAATCTACATACACACACACACACACACACACACACACACACACACACACACACACAAAATCTACTGACACCAAACACAGCCTCTCACAACAATGCTAGCTGGTACACTGATACCAATGCGTTCCTAGAACACTTATCTAGTGGAAGAGTGTACTACAAGGGACCCACCTCCAAAAGATAATTACAGGTTTTTTGGAGTCCCTGCTCGTGCATCATATCTACTGCTTACTCCAAAATATTTACACATTGAAGTTCACAGTCTTTCATCTGGAACTATACAACCTCAGTTTGTTTTCAGGGTTCCATTTCTTCAAAGAAGTTGAGCTGGTAAGTGCACAAAAAACCATATATTTCTCAGGCATTCTCAGCTCTAAGAGACTGCTCCCCACATTCCCACTATGCAGAATAGCCTTCTTTTTCTAACCACATACCTAAATCTGACATGTTCTTTAAAGGCTGGTCTGTGACAAGGTCTTCTGAAAAAAATGATCTTTGACAGAAGGAATCTATTTCTTTTCTTAATTCCCATAACACTTATATGGTTCTACTCTTATTCTATGTATTTTCATTATAGATGTATGACTTATTTCCTTAAATATATTGTCTTGAATCCATTGAGTATAGAATATATTTATTATTTTTTTAATCTCTCTAGCATTTACCCTATTTTAAGGACACAATGAAGATTTAGCTCATTCCCTTTTGCTCCTCAGCCACAGGACTCTAAGAAAACATGAATAATAATCCCCTTCCTCCACACACGCTGAAAGAAGTGCAAAGCAGTATAGGGCAGTAATGAAAAGTGAGATTTCTGGAGCTGGCCCTACCACCAGCTCTACCACCTACTAGATCTTAGGCAAGTTCATTTAATTTGTCAGTCCCTTGGTTGTCACACATGTAAGGTCAAATCTATCATAATATTTATCTAACAGGGTTGTTGTGAGGTTTCAACCATTAGTACATCTGATGTTCTTAAAACAGGGCCCGGCACACCATAGGCAATTACCGACAGTCGAGATCCTATTCTCCGTCATAATACAGAAGGTGGCACTATGTCAAGATGTTGGAACATCTGTAAAGGAAGGCAATGTAAAGAGGTCATTTCACTCCCACCTACATTTAAAGCCACTTGTGGATTCAAATTGCATGTCCTGAGAACTGAGCACTCCAGGCCTACTTAACTGCTAACAGGGCACTTACCACAACATCAGGAACAAGAGTCTTACAGAACCCAACGGTCCCTTTGAAGAGGGCCCGTCCCCTTCAGTGAACACTATAAGCCATGCATTCAACAGACTCACTAGCAGTACTGTTCCCATCAATACTGCTAATTGCACAACTATTTAGGCCACAGAGGCCTTGTTTACTTTTCTCCTTTTCTGGCACTGTCATTCAGTGCTCCCAGAGCTCTGCCATGGTGGGTCTGTGGTCCTCTGGGGTTTAAGCCTCTAAGAAATGGGACCCTGAAGCATTTTAATTGGGCTAGAATAATAATAGTTTGACAATATGAAGGTGGAGACATGGGAAAAAAAGAAGCTTGTTCCTCACAATTTCTGACCAAAGCCACCACAAATGCAGCCAACCCAGAGGGATTCCAGAACTGATGATCCCATCTGAGAGTCAGGGACACCAGAGGTCTCCTCGCTCTCCCTCTGCCTCTTCCATCCTCTGCAGTGGACAGAGGTGAGAGGAAGAGGTGCTAATACTAAAACAAGAAACTTTTGCTCTTAATTAATAGCTGAAAAAACTCCCATTAAAAGATTTGGGGAATGAGTCTGAAGTAATCAACTTAATTAGGCCCAACCTTCCTAATTCTCCCATCAGCACAGATAATCACAAAACAGCAGAATGTTTTAACACTAGCCAAGAAGCAGGAACACAGGCAGTCAGTTCACTGCAGACGGGTGTGGGGAGCTATCTTTAATAGCCCAGATACATTTTGTAATTATTTTAACCTGTTTTAAAACAACTATATTTGAATAATGCTTACAAAAAGGGGGCTTCAGAGGAAGACAGGAAGAGTAGAAGCCTGTACAGGCCTAAGGCAAGGCTGTTGTTTCCCTACTTATCTGCCCTGCACTGGCTGGATCAGGAGCTACTTTCACAGTACGCTGTGTGGTCTAATAGTATCCTGTGCTGTTTAGCAGTGTTGGTGGAATATTTGGAGGTGGGATGACCAGAGAGACAAAAATCAACGAAGGCCACAGAAATCCTCTTGAAAGAAAAAAAATGTATAAGAAATAACACCTGTGATTTTTGTAAAGTTTTATTGGAATCCTACTAGAAAAGGAAAGGGCAGAAAAGGAGAAAAACAAAAGAGAAAAAAATAAAGAAGAATGAATTCCTTCAGTATATATCAGTGGGCAAGATCTGGGCTTTGGACTTCTTTTATATATACATATATTCTGATTGTGGATTCTGTGCCATCTCCCCTAAGAATTTTGGAGAAATACTATTAAATTTCAGTAGAGAATGCACTACTTTTTCCTGAATAGGAAAGAAAATCATGGGTCTCTGTTCTTCCAGCGTTCACTAAAATGTCCACACTTCATTCTTCAACTAGCCTATACCAGAAAAAAACGGTCAGATCCTTACAAAGTTTCTAGATGAAAATGACCACTGCTCCCTAGAACCTTATACCCATTGTCACTTGAACCCTGCTTATGGTATTCACATGGAGAGACCCTGCATCATGACTGTTTTTCCATGTTTCATTTCCCTTGCTGGTATTAGGCATATGAAGACCTAAGACCATCTATTAGATACGTCCAAGTTTTGACAGGTAACCTACCCTCACCAGGCCTCAGTTTTTACCACTGTCAAGTGGAGATAAGAGAGTTTACTGTGTAGGGTTGCTGTAAGAATTAAATTAAGTAATATATTAAAAATATTTAGAACAATAGAGGATACTTTTTTTCCTCAAAAGTGCCTGGGTCAGGCAGTAAACATCACAGTATTATTACAGGAACTTTTTTTCCTCAAAAGTGCCTGGGATAGAATTAAAATATTTTAATCAATGAATAAATTAAAGACATTTAAAAATCATTTTGGATCCTAG